CACATGTACTGCCTACCAGAGAACCTGTGAAGCCAGTCGCTCCGAAGACTGCGATGTCAACCGGTCGCGACGTGGATTTAATATTCAACATCGGACTCTTGCAAAAAAAGCTAAAGTGTGGGAAAACATGCACATGGTCAACCACAAGTGTTGATGACAACATGAAAATGCTAATTGGTTTCTGTACACTTCTACCCTCAGACGTAAGGAAGCTTTCATAAGTAGTTAGGAAACGCTCAGCGAGCATATATATTCCTTCAACACTGTTGTTGACCATTTCTTTCGATTCGGCATTGCTAGCTTACAATTGTGCGATGGCTCGAAACCAGGCTGGACACAGGGCGAGATGTCGAAAATCACCAAGTTATATCAGTATTGATATGCCCAACAGAAAATGCAAAGAAGAATTGCAGAATCATATTCTTATCGATGATATAAACATAACCATATCAATACGTGAAATTCAACCATCAAAGTTGTACTGTTCGTTAATGTATGCCTTACACCATTTTATAAAATGCGAAAATGCGAATTCATTGGAGTTTCACCACCCTAGTGATATGAAAAACACAAGTAGGAAACTACTGCGTATCACAAAAATCTCGTTTTTCACCGAGTTTTACGCCACTTCGCGTAAAACGGGTGAAACTCCAGTGTGCAACGCATCATACGTAAAAAACTCGAATAGCGTTCCCGAGTGAGAACCCCAGTGATAACAGCAACAATCACCATTAAAATAACGCAAGTCGGATTCATCAATAATGGAAATTTAATTACAACTAATCATCGCCATTTCGGAGGCTTGGCATCTATCAACTTCGAGGTGTTGTCTGTGAGATCCCTACTCAGAGTCTGCCGATACACATTCCAATCAAACTTCAATCCGTTCATGGGCTGCCTCCTCCTTAGGGCCTGACCAACACCGATCTATCTACTGTTCGCGGTGTGGGAAAATATGCACATCGTCAACTACATGTGTTGGTGACAATATATGCACATCGTCAACTACATGTGTTGGTGACAATATATGCACATCGTCAACTACATGTGTTGGTGACAATATATGCACATCGTCAACTACATGTGTTGGTGACAATATATGCACATCGTCAGCTACATGTGTTGGTGACAATATATGCACATCGTCAACTACATGTGTTGGTGACAATATATGCACATCGTCAGCTACATGTGTTGGTGACAATATATGCACATCGTCAACTGCATGTGTTGGTGACAATTTTGGGGAAATTTTCGTTTGTTTCTAAAAACTTCTGCTCGAATTCGTGTATCAACTGCTCACTCAGTTGTGAGAAGCAAACATTGATTTAGGCACTAAATGCTCGCCATACGTATACCTCCTTACGATTATCAACACAATAGAACATGGCCAAACAAGGCATAACTGACAGCAGAAGCTTTCTAATAGAAAACGGTTTTTCTATCAGAAAGCTTCTAGTTACTAGCAATCCACTAATGATGAACATCGATGAAATCGTCGATGAACTTTCCCGAGGCTCATCTCGAGCATAATAATACACACTCACAATGTGATAAGAGAGTCAACCTACCTTGCAAGCTGAGCGGCACCAAGTGCTCACCAAGTTGTCCAGAGATGCATGACATTTATTCTCGAAATCATGGATGATCCTCGCCACTTCGCGCGGCACGAAATTGCCAGAGTCCGTCACAACGTTTGAGTCTGGCATGCTCTTCGTAAACGTACTCTGAAACTCTCACGATTCTACGACGATTTCATGGTCAACCATAACATTACATATAAGTGATATCAAAATTCTCATTTTACTAATAAACTGCAGCTGAAGTGAAACCATTGTAATACTCATTCTTGCGCTCACCTGAACGTTGCTGTCCTCCCAAAAGTGCGTGCGGATTTTCGCACCTCCAGTTACAGTTGGAGGATTTGTAGCAACAACAAATTCGCCAACCCATGAGCCAGACCTGCATGCATTCACCTCGAATGAGCATCACATAAGGTCGAGGCTGACCAAAGGCCTTGTTCTCTCGTCACCGAGGAGGACCTCACTACGTAGATTACGCCGTCTCTAAAAAACCAACACTATCAACAAGCACACTGGTAATATCGATTCCATCGATTGAAGGCCAACTCCGATTTGCAACGGCAGTTTGGATTCCAAACTTTGGAAATTGTTGGTGATAATATAAAAATTGTGAGGAAATTTTGGGGAATTCTTGTTGGTTACTGTACACTTCTACCCCAATCCGTATCTGAACTTATATATTTAGTGAGGAAACTTCCAAGCTCAGCTGAGGGAAGTAAACATATATTCCTCCAACACTACGCAACGGAGGAACTCTCAGTAGAGGGTCCGAACTGAATTGAAAATCCTACTTGATCCAAGCTCCACTGGTAGCATCATCTCCATCAAGTGATTTTAGAATCTCATCTGCCACGACTCTCAAAGTCGCGTCGGTATTGTCATTCTGAATTTCAATAGTTATCTCAACAGTGCCGATGTAAGCTTACGCCGGGGCATTCTTCCACCGACACGACCGCAGGAATAGATCCCCAACTGATCACACCTAGAAGAGGAATACTCGATTGGCGCAGAACAACACAAACTGGAAATTCGAACATGAAGTTACTCCATCACAGTAAAACCTCACATCGCTTTCTCCCTGTAATGTCCAGGTATTGTTCACGAGAGTTCTGTTGACGACTCTGCCGACAGATGAGCACCTGGAAAGGCGGAAGGACTCGAAATAACTCGAAAATAACTCCCGGAAATTGACTCGAAATATAGGGGTGGCGGAAGGATGTTGTCGGATTGTTCGTATCTCGCAAGAACCGACAAGGCAGTTCCACTGAGGCTACCGATCACGCCTGTTGCCCACCATATCCAACAACACAAGTTCTGGATGGAAACAAATAGATAGTATCAACGCCCTTAGATGTGCGAAATCTTGAACGAGTCCTCAGAGCTCTATCTCTGAGATCGAGTCCATAGTCGCACAGCAAAACGATCGGCATTCATCCAGCACGGTGGTTCTAATACTGTTGAAATATAGCCTAAGTCAGCATGCTTAGTCCACAGTAAGGTACGTAGTCCATCTACTTCGGCATCACCAACCGAACTTAGTGGATTAAGCCCACGCTTCACCGGCAGCGGGAATAGCTTGTGCAAGTGTCTGCCGCCTAGTGAGTCGCTCGTTCACTGGAGATGGCAGTGAGCATGGTCTCAAACCCTCAACTGCGGCAGTACACAGCGATTATTGTGAAGATGTAGGTTTTCCCACTGCCTGGTGCGCCACATAGCACAGGCCTTCGCTTCATTCGAACTTGTTAAATTCAGTGCAGTATGCTCATGGAAGAAATGAACATCCCCAATTTCAACCAGAGCTGAGGATATCATGTAGTATCTTGGAGACATAATCCCAAACATCGTAAGACACTGAATCATGACGGAAATCCCCAGCTCACCACCGAGCTCTCGGATTTCAGCACAATCACGGCCGATGAGCTTGGGCTACCCCATCAGGATTCCTGATTCAGGAATATCGCTTTAATAACTTCTCGTCCTATCGGCTATAGGTTGAAGTCTCAGACACCCATGTTCTCCGTTAGGGCGTATTCTTGAGAGATTCTCCCATCTTCGGACTCCCTGGATTCGAGGGTCAATCTTCCTCTCATCTTCTTCAGGGGACACTGAGTGGCAGAGCCTACCTATTGCATTTGTACGGAATGCACCTCATGGTTCATGAGGCCTGACTAAGTGGTGAAAAAGTGGAATCTGCTAAAGTGACCGAGTCGACAAACATCGTGGGAGTGCGATGATGGCATCTCTAGAAGTGTCCTGGGAATATCTGCTTCTTGTCCGAGACAATTTCCCGCAATTTCTCATCTATCCTCTCCTCTCGCATTGCACAGAGATTCTCTGTCTCGTGATGAGACTCTCATCCACTGCGGACCATCTTCAACATGAAGATCAAGTGATGTCTTAAAGCGGTGGCGGAATCCGCGGCGCGGATGAGTAATTAGAACATGGTTGTTCCAAGTTCCATGATACTATCGGAGGCTTCGATAGTATTGTAAAAAATGGGTGACACTCAGCGAATGAATACTACTGTTTTCAAACAATAGGCTGAATTAAACCTTTTGTGGCGTTTGATTACAAACTTTTCAGCAATTTCATAATATCAGCGGCCCAAAACTCAATTTTCAAGATCCAAATTATATACCTCAAAGTCTGAGACCAATTTTTACTATCAACTCGCAATGATCACACAAGGAGCTCACTTTCGTTATCTGCCCATTTGCATCAATAGAGGACGTCACGACCATACCGATGCTCTCACAATACCTGCGACGATACCCGGTGAGACCCGCAGCAGTGTTGAGGAGTTTCCTCACGAATTATAGGATTCCACATACGAATCCGGGTAGACATGTACAGGAAATATAATATAAAAAAATTTCCAAAATTTCCTCAGAATTTCTACATAGTTACCAACACATGCAGTTGAGCATGCGCATACTTCTCCACACTGTCATCCTCTGTAGCTCAAGAGTGTGTATAACAATCCTGGAAAGCGTGCCATGATCTACTTCTAGCCGCTCCAGAACGAATGATGAACTCTCAAATCTCTCCCAAGACGGGATCTTCCGAGAAGCAGTTCCGAAATCGAGTCAATTCGTATGCTAATACGAAAATCAAATAAAGATCAATCTACTATACGAAGAATCGGGATAAGACGAATAGCCGAATTTACTCTTGAATAGCAGCGTTGTTGGTAGCTACTTCTGTGGGTGAAATCACTGACAAGTCCGCCAAAACCTGATGATGGTATAAAACACTATAGCAGACCAGGGTGTTGACAGTCCATAAGGAGCTTACCTGTGATAAACACCCAGGCGGCGAATTTGCGATGACTCTACCTTCCACAGTAGAAGACATATAAAAACTTGACGGGACTACTAAAGAGGATGGTGATGAAAGCTCGCTGAATAAGAAGCATTTGCTCTACACTATCGAAGTCAACATTTACAGTGGCATCATCGGCTGACGTGCTGCTCGATAAGTCGATTCTGAGTTTCAGAATCGCTTTTGAAAAATCTTGTTTAGAGAACCGACTCTGGAATAGATCACAGAAACGTTTCCAGAGTCACTTCTGAACGTGAATTTTTTTATAATTTTTATCATGAACTTTTTTAATTCTGAACGTGTTCGAAAATGCTCCTCCGTGTTTCTGGAGTCGTTTCCAGAACCGCAGTTTTTAGTACCACTCCGATGATCACTTTTGAAAATTTTGAAATCGTTGATAACCAATGGGCGAGCGATACTGTGGTTTCTCTTTTTTTCCTGAGAAAACGCGAGTTGTCTCCTTCTCTTTCATAGTGACTGTCACGGAGCTACTGCTAAGGATGGACGGCAGGATTGCGAACATTTTGTTTATGTGATCAGCAATAGACCGTTTCACAGTACTTCGGCGAGCGATATCCAAAGACACTCGGGCGTAACACGATGCACTTTGACCCACTAAAGAAAGTAATCCTGAGTAACATTCGCACTGTAGTAAAGCGAATTCCACATACCATCGTTTCCCCCCCATTCACTCGTTATTGAGATTGATGACGAATATTTCAATACTTAATACATCACCTCACACTCAAGTCAATAATTCTGTTTCCACTCAAAAAAGCAAAGTCATAATAATAGACTAATCTGTTTCCACATATTTCAGATAGTAACAGTAGTACGTCAATTCACTTCTCCCTTGTAGATAGTGGTCAGTACTGTAGTAGTGAGCTCAGCTGAGACCTTCTAGGTTTCATGTCCCCATTTTATGGTATTCCACATCCGTTGATATTTCCAGCAAAGCTGGGCTAGTCGTTGATGATATAAGATTAGATTCCACTTATTCCTTACGAGTTTGATTCATCAATACTCACAAGTGCTTTCTGTCTATGCTATGTAGATTTACTCAAGATGTGGGCTAGCTCTGTGATGGTGTTAAAGAAGAATGCAATTTTTCCTCTTCCGAGAAATGATCAAATGCTGATCTCATCGTTGGCTACCCTCAATAGTTACTTCCCTCTTTTTTCCTCTCTTGTTGAGCATTCTCGTAATGTCAGTGGAGAATCACCCGGAGTGGCAAGGGTCGCGACCAGCCAAGTGGATGGACCGTAATACTGGCAAGAACAGTAGTGCATTCAAGATGTGTTGTGCGAGATGTGGTATTATTGTTAGTTCAGATAGCCGAAAAATAATACCCACTGTGTGCCGGTCTGGAGAGCAGGACACCTTCACACGACTTGGAATGGACAGGTGCTTTGTTTTTTTTCGGAAAATTTAGAATTTTTTGAAAATTTTCAGTTTTCCCGGAAATGAAATTCTTTTTTGGCAAGGCTACCGGCGTTTTGTGCAAAATTTTATTGTAAAACTTACACGGTGATGATCTCGTCGAGAATATTTTTCTTTCATTTTTCTATTTATATTTTTCC